TATGAATTTTCTATCTTCAGTTGAAAATTTTCTTGATTTAGTTGCCCTCGGTTTGCAATCATTTGATAGATTGGAGAATAATTTGGGTGGCTCTATATTTAAGTATGCCAAACTACAAATGTTATCTATATGATCAATAACTAAAGGCATTTTTGAGCCAGCAAAAGTGATTTCTAGAGAAGAATGTTGTTTAAGCAAGTCATGACCTATAACTACATCAGCACATAAATCTTGAATTATTGATAATTTGACATTTTTATATGAATGTTCGTTTATTTCTAAATTAACAAAGCAGTGTCCTGAGATAGTCGTTCTGAGTGCTGTTGAAGCCATTATTATGCTTGCATGACTTCTAAATGTTTTCACGTTTATAGACAATGCATAATTCTTACTGATATATGACTCAGAACTACCTGTGTCTATTAAACTTTCAGCTGTATTTCCATTCACCTTTATCTCAGTAACACTTTTAGATAAGCATTGAGGGGCAGCAGCAAGATTTCTAACATTCGAACTAGATGTAGTAGTAGCTAAAACAGCAGCTGATACTGAATTGGGCATCTGAAGCCTACATACCTTGGAAAAATGTCCAACTTTCGAGCATTTCTTACAAACTTTGTCTCTAGCAGGGCATAGGCTACGAGGATGCCTTTCAGTTGATCCACAAAAGTAACATTTCCAACTTTTCACAGCAGCAGAAGTATAATTAGTGTGCTCTCTGGTTTCAGAAGAAATTGCATTAATAATTTGTACAGGAGTTGTATAAGCCTCAGAGTGTTTTGAAGCTGACTCCAGAGACTGGGCTTTTACTATGGCATCTTGCAGAGTAATAGTGTTGTTTTCTAGTAAACGTTGTCTTATGTCATTAGAAAGAATGCCATTAATAAAAGAGTCTCTTATATAATCTTCTCTATTTTGGTCTGCAGAAACGGCTAGAAAATTACAGTCTTTGGAAAGCACTTTAAGATGTTGAACGTATTGACCTATATTTTCACCAGTTTGTTGTTTTTTTTGTCATTAGGATATGTCTGGCAAAAATTTCATTTTTGGGTTTAACAAAAGCTGCTTCAAGAATACTTTTGGCTTCAGAATACTTTCTACAATCAGAGATGAGTTCATAGATATTGTTGCTCACGTAATTTACCAGTAGTTTGAATTTCTCCTCCTCTGAAACATCAATCACAGAGGAAATAAAGTTTTCAAAGGTAGCTTTCCAATGCATCCATTCTTGAGACGATCTAGGAGAGTTAGGATCAGCATCGAATCTGTCTGGTCGTAGTAGCTTATCCATATTTGATATTTCTTGTATATTAAATTGTAATGAAATGCAAAACCTTTATAAACTAGGTTTTAATATACAAGAAATTAGCATTGTTTTGTTTGAATGAATAACATGACAATTACATATGACATTAACTAAAAACTAAGATGACAAATGACAAACACAGTTCACAGACCACAGGACAGGTAGTGTACATTTAATTTAAATACGCAGACAATTTAATTACACAGATTTTGGATCATTCCTAATAAAAAAGGTTAATTGTAATTTTTCTCTAAAGTTGATCGATTTCAACTTAAACAATTTAAAACTGAAAACAAAAACGAAAAATCATGATTTTTGAGGCTCATTATTTGAGCAATTATTTTTGAATTCACCAAACCTTGTTTTATCAGTTCCTGACACTTTAGTTTAGGCTTATTTGATTTTAAAAACATTGTTTTTAGTTGTTTGAGGCCCTTATCCCAATGTAAAAATGAATTTATACAAAACTATTCAATAAATTAGGACCACTTAATGGGCGACATCTTGAACATTATTCTGCAGTTTTTATGAAAGTGATTATGCAAAACATTTCATGCGGCCAAAAATCTCATGCGAATACTTTTCCCAAGGAAATTTGTTGTTTTCGTCTTGTATATAAACATATTTTGCTGAATTTAAATCCCAAATCCTATTATTTTTCTATCATACATTTATTTGTTATTTATTTATTTGTACTCTATTAGATTTTTTTTCAATTCGTAAAAGGTTTATTTACAAGTAAAATTAGTGCAATGTAAATATTTTACATGTTTACACAGCAATTCTTATCGGCTGTGAAGATGGGAAGTCGTAAATTTTTATAGCTAAAATAAAAATGCGATGACTAACTGGAATGTTTAAGATTAGAAAAAACATAATATGTCATGTTTATTGGAAATACTCGACATTATTAGCACGTGCAAATCCTACCCTGTCGCCCAATTTCTTATGAAATTAAAATGGTGCATGTTTTTAGGATCCATTTATTTTTTCGGGCATGCGTATTTACGAGGTCCACGACATTCTGAAACATCTTTACCTGTGTTAAAGCGACGTTGTCAAGTTTGCACAAATATTACTATTTACTGCATTTGGAAAATAAGTTGAAAATACATGATAATAAACATACAATATAATATATTTAAAGCCAATAAAACAATGGATACAAGAAATTTATTGTAGCAAAAACAAGGAAAATTAAACACAAAACATAGTACACGAAAAGAAACTACATTTAAATAATAATTTCTTTTAAAAGACGATATCTCATTTTCCAAATAGTCCTGGAAAGAATGCAGCATAGTAATCATATGAGCATATCTCTCAATATGAATATAAGAAAGGAATTTACTCTACATACAAGTGTCAAGTATATTGTAGTCAAATGTCAAATAGAGTGATGCACGCGCACGGTTCCTAGACTTACTACGGTTGCCTCTTCCGCCTAACCAATGAACATTAAGCCGGATTGTACTCCTGTGACGTAATTTGAATCTTAACATTCAGCCCTGTGATTGGATGGATGTATCAAAACAAAAATATTTTATAAATAAAGTAGGTTGATTTCATGTAATCAAATGAACTATTTTACAATAAAGCCAAGTTAAAGTTATTTATTTATGTTAATATACAAAAAAGTACTTACATATGTCAAAAAATAGTATAAAATAAAAATTAACATATTAAAAACATAAGATATAATAATGCATATAAGGCAAATATGTTATATATACGTTAAGGCAAACATTACACAGAATATTATATTCTGGGTTCCCAGGTATACACAAAATAGGATTCATCATCATCAATACACAAGCCAGTTCGAAACATTAAAGTTAAAATTTAGGAATTCATTACTTGAAAACTGCTTCCCCTTCAACCAATGGACTCTTTGCTTCACCACAATACTCAAAGATATCATTAAGGTTAATTTCCATTATTAAATGATACAAATAACTCGTCTTAAACCAAACTAAACATGGAAAAGCAATGGTAAATATTCGAATGTTATGTTTGTTTTTGTTTATACCATTTATATCGGCCATGACACTGCAATCGACCTGCCCTCTACATTCAGTTTCAATCGCGAATAAATGGGTTTTGTATTCTTGTGTACTCCTGTGACGTAACTCAAGCATCCCCACCCTAGTCGGAAGAGGCAACCGTAGTAAGTCTACGAACCGTGATGCACGCGGTACAAAGAGGGTATGACGGCAATTAGAGATAATGCTGTCATCGGTTTCTTAGATTTTAAATGATAGTAAAATTATGAAAAACGAGCGAAAATAGAAAATACCTGATCTTTCAGCTAATGAAAAAACTCCTCACAATTTTTATTTTGTCATTAAATATTCAATATCCATTTGAGGTAATCAACGTTCTCAAACGGGGATATAAAATATTGATAAATGTGAAAAATTTGAAATTAGAGTTTAAAACTGATCTGTGGTGCACCCAGAAGAGGGTTTGGGGGTTAAACCCCCCCCCTTCAGGACATATAGGTAAAGTAAAAAATATATAAAGAGTAGTAGGAAAATGTAATTTGTCTTTCACACACAATACAAAAAAATCCAAAAAGCTAATTGATTAATTAAATTGCCCTTTAAATATGTAGAAACACAGTAATTATTGTATAAATACACAATAATTAATAATAATTTTCATTATATTTAGATATCTTCTTCTTCCTATGCCGTCCCCATTAACGGAGGTTGGCGACCACATTTTTAAAAGCTTCTCTGTCTTTTGCAACGTGGAATAATTCGTCTACAGTCATGTTTGTCCAGTCTCGAATATTTCGCAGCCATGACTTCCTCTTTCTACCTATTCCCTTTTTGCCATCGACTCTACCGTGCATGACGACCTGCAGAAGACTATAATTTAGATATAGATACCTAATATTAGGCTTATGACAAAAGTAGACAGAACGAGTCTTGTGGACTATCACGGGTTATGTTCCTCTGCATGTGTTAGCAGTAGAAAAGAGACATCTCTATGAGAGAAGAGGGCACAAAGAGGGTTTGGATACATTGGGAACGCCTGACGAACGTTGGCCCCAAAAACTTCACAAATGGAAGCCACCTGGAAGAAGAAAAAGAGGTAGATCTCTACGCTCATGGAATGAAGGAATTAAAAGCGAGATGACAAGAAAATTTCAAAAACCCCTCCCCTCAACCAAATTCTGGGTCGCCACTGAAACTGATATAAATTTCACCAAATAAGAGATATTTGATCATCGTATAAAAGCAATAAAATGCAACCTTTTGACCTATTGTATACAGGAGGTGGCTTAGGATTCTTCAAAAAGAAGATTCAAAACGACGAGTTTGAATTTCCGAAATCGAAGAAAGATTTAATAAAGCAATGATTTAATAGAATCCGAATTATTTTACACCAATAAATTAAAATACCACAATCAAGGAATTTTCCAAAAATATTTTAAACTTACCAAATATCCTTTCATACATTATTTAAAACCTAAATATTTGAACTACATATACCTGCTACAATAACAAATAAAATTGGAATTATTTTATCCATCACCTTCACAAAGAAAATATATTAAATCGGGCAACAAAGCATCAATTCAACAAACCATGCGCTCTAGCTCTGTTCTATATTTCGTTCCACTCCAACACTCCACTCCAATCCGTAATCTTATCGCGCCGTCGCAACAAAATAAATTTTGACGTTTATCCACTTATCACACGTGTACATTGGCAGTAGGTCAATCAAAATTCCGAAAATGAATTAAAACACTTCATATCTTAAGAAGAGCTCCATTAATTCGGTTAAATTTCTTCCGCAATGCTTATTTATAATGTTTACAAATAGTGTAATAAAATTATTAGTCGTTGTTTTAGTACTAAGACAGTGTGTGGCGTACTTTAATGTTGATAAACAAGAAGAATGTTTTTGCCAATTATCCGGTAACATCGATGAATGCACCTGTAATATTGATACAGTGGATCATTTTAATAATATCAAAGTTTACCCCAGGCTGAAGAGTTTGCTACTGAAAGATTATTTTAGGTTTTATAAGGTAAGTTTTTTAGTATTTTGAAAAAATATTTTTACCGATATTCTTGGGATACATTCTAGTTTTTTTTATAATTATTTAAATTAATGATGAATTGAATTAAACTAATGTAATAATTACAAGAAATACAGTAAGATGAATCACTTAAACTAGTACCGTTACTTTTACCTAAATATGAATAATTTAACAAAATATTATGAATTTGTACTACCCTTGTTTCAAATGCAAATAAATTTAAGCAATAATTTTTTGATAAATTAAGTACAGACAAGAATTGTAGGCTTGCATAAAATGAAAATTGGCACAATGGTGAAAGTTGAATATGTGTTAAAAGAAATGTTTAAATGTATGAAATGTAGAAAATATTGATACAATTTCTCCAGCTTATTCACACATCCGCTAAATGAAGAAATATGTTTTAATAAAAGCAACAGCAGCTTGTTTGTTGTGGTTCTATTTCTATAATAAAGATTAACTATTACACAACTTGAGCAAATGATATAAGTGTGAATAGATGAAAGCTTATAAGAATGGAATAATGTAGAGTAAGGAAAGATTTTATACTTCTTAAAAGAATTTTCTAAAACAAATCTCTAAACTGAACCCAAAATATGTGATTGTTAACTATTGATTCTAAAACAACAAGATTAATATATCTGTACCTCAGAGTCAGACAAACTAAGTCCAAAAATGGTGATTTTCGAGTTTTTGATGTTTTGCGTGTAAAATTTAATTCTACATCAAGCCATAATAACGTAACTTCTTTAAAAATTATGCTCTCCAAATTAGCCAAGGCTATAAGAGCATAAGTCCTTACCCATATCAGAGCCAGACAAATGTAGTCAGTTTTTTTTAATTACATAAAAAAAGGAAGTAATTTGCTAATGTTCTTCTTAAATACACTTTCAATTTTAGAAACTTTCATGAGAGTAGCCATAAAAAAGCCCAGTGTATCTGGATTGGTAAATACAGTCCTTGGGGAAAAACATATGCCAGGTAATAAAATACCTATAGATAGACTACAAAGAATCAAAAATCATATTTCAAAGTTCCCTGTATATGAAAGCCACTACAGCAGGGAAAGGTCTCAACGAAAATATTTGGGAAATCACTTTTCTACAATGTATGCATTGTATGACTAAGAGTGTAAAAAAGAACAACTTAAACCAGAAAAAAGTGGATTTATTCTAAAATTTTTAATGAAGATTTTATACCTGTCTTTCATTCACCAGACAGCAATACATGTGATATTTGTGATAGACTAGATAGTGAAATAAAAAATGGAAAAAATGATGAACTACTCAATGAACTGAAATTAAAAAAAAATAAACACCTCGAAGATGCCTCATTAAGATGAGTTAAAGGACAAACTGGAAAGAAGTGCTAACATAGGATCAAGAGTGATTATGTCGGATCTCCAAAAGTGCCTTCCAACAAAAAACACCAAAAGTTTTTACTCAAGAAAACTCTGGATATTAAATAGTACTATTTATGATGCAACAACTGATAAAACCTGCGTCTATAAATAGCGTCTTGATTATTTACATGGGCAAATTGTTTGGGCCTTTTAAATTTATATAATAAAACGGGATTTTTAGGTCAGTCTTGCAATGGTGTATAGTTGCAAGCTGTTGTAAGACAAATGGACTCGTCCGAGTAACAATGTACAAGGGGAGTCCAGTAGTAGAAAGAGAGATAATTGTAATGGCGGATGTAATGTAGATGTGTTTTGTTGTTGGTTAATAAAAAGTTGGGAAATCAGTTGAGATTTCATTTTATTGGCAAAGAAAACAATGATATAGGGAAAGTTAATCCTTATAACATTGTCACAAATAAAGAAATTACTAATAATCACCTACAGGTGTACTGACTATTTGGACAGATAATTGCAGTGGACAAAACAGAAATATGAATATGGTTTTTATGTATTTGTGGCTCTTGGAAAAAGTTCCTACTGTAAAGACAGTCAACCACAAGTTCTTATTGGCCGGACACATCCACAATGGAGGTTGATGGAAAACACAGCATAAACAAGGAAACTCTCTTTCCTTGTTTAATCTGGCCTCTCAAAATAGCACTTCCAGTCTAACAATATTTTTGCCCCACTACCTTTACATTCCCTCTTAGAATTGGTTGAAAAACTTCAACTGGGCAATCATCCAAACATACAGCTGAAAATATTGACAATGTTGAATATCAGAATCCAAAAACATCCACTTTGACAATAACCTTACAAAAAAATTTGTTGTATGGCGCCTTCTAATTTATTTTAAAAAAGTACTTGAACTATCATGCTATCAAGTTAAATATTTTCAAGAGTAGATTGTTAAAAACTACTGGATAATTTGTTTGATATATAAATAAAATTCCCATGTTTATTTTTTCACAAATTATTCTGAAATTACCCAGCTAATCTTAATTTTATGGGTTTTAAATGAAAAAGTAATGTGGTTTAAGTGCTTATAACAACTTTTCATATAGTATATCTTTTTGACTGAGTATGTGGATAATATTTGGGTAACATTTATTGATTGATATAGATAATATGAATTTGATAAATTAAAAATATTATCTCTGTATTATCATCTTTATTAAAAGAACTGTTTATTTATGAATGCATAATCAGGAGATTCATATAGTGACTTATTTTGAACACCGTTTTAATTATATAAATTGAATATTTGGATGTAGTGTGTTTATATAAGACATATCTAAACCACACCCTTGGCTTGTATGCTTGCTCCATTACCCTCTTCTCTAGATGCTCCATGAAAAGGTTGGCTATAACCGGGCTTAGTGGGCTTCCCATTGTTACTCCATCTACCTATTCAAAAATCTGGTATTTCCATGAAAAGTAGGTAAAAGGAACACTGAATGCCAGAAAAACAAATACGAACGCTTAATTATAGTTTATTTGTCTTCCGGGTTTGGATCGTGTCATTTGTGAGTGACCCAAAAGTGGGTTCATCTAATGATAATACAGAGATATACATATCATGATAATACAGAGACAAACCCGGAAGACGAATAAACTATAATTCTGACTCTGGCCGTGGAAGCCTACGATTTCATTACGAACGCTTAACCAAACTTAAAGAGGTAGAATCAAAACAAAACACAGAAAGGACAGTGGTCAACCTTTCAGATAAGGTTTTAACTCCAGACAAAACATCATTGCTAGCTAAAGGGAGGAAATTTTGCGATTGCACCTAAAGTTATACCCAAAGAAGATATCATCGCTAATATCTAGTCTGTGATTCGCAACTTACCAACCAAAAAAGCTGAAGAAATAAGGACAGAATCAGCGAGAATTTTGCATAAAGCTAAGACACCGAAAAACAACCTGAGTCACCAAGAAAAACGCAGACAAAGATGTTGTAATTTTACCAGCAGACAAGGGAAACACCACCATCGTAATGAAGACAACCGACTACAAAACGAAAATACAAAATCTTCTAGATCCGGTATCCGGTATAGTCACCCTACAGAAAAATCAATAAACTTATAAAATCTTCGTCCATACTAGAGAATACAAAGCCAAGAATATGCAACAGCGAAGCAGTCCCACCTATATAGCGAATAGAAAGATAAGTTCAAGGATAAACGAACATAAAAGCCATTGCCGGTTAGGACATATCGACAAATCTGCTTTGCTATCGAACACGCTTTGGGAAGCGGAGAACATCGGATACTCTTTGAAGAAACGCAGATGCTGGATAAAACATCACAGTACTAGATGATGCCAACTCCTAGTGTTGGCGAAACGTCGAGAAATAATCTCAAAAGACAACTGCCTAGCAGTCGGAACAAACAGGTTAGACGATGGCCCTGAATATGTTGTTTGAGAAGTGTTAACTCGTTTGGTACCGAGTACTGGGTATAGTATAGTTTCTACGATGTCAGTTGGACAAGTCATAAAAACAAAATTCGACACTCAAGTGTCGGCGTCTTTGTAAAACATAGGCGGCGCAATAGAAATTAAATAATAAACTTTTATTTTTAAATTAAGGTCTAATATTTTGTTAAACAGTAATAATATTGTTAATTATTCACATTTCTTTATGAACTTGACACCAAAGATGATTAAAAGTTAATACACAATATAGTCCATTCACTAACGGTAAAATATTGTAAAAACCTCTAAATTTTAAAGAACCACTGGGATTGATATGAAATTTGTCATACACATATAGCTAACGTGTCAAAGAAAAAAAGTGATATTGTGCCGATGTGTATTTTTGCCCTGGGGGTGAGTACCGCACCTTATTGGGAGGTGAAAAGATATACATCCAAAATAAGTCCGGAAGTGGATAAACTGACTAATTCTAGGTAACTTTTGTTCTATAGAGGTTTTTACTAAATCAATACTTTTCGAGTTATTTGCGAGTGAATATATTCATTTTTCATTAAAAACACCACGTTTTTGGACGATTTCTCGCAAATAACTCAAAAGGTAAGTATTTTATGGAAAAAATGTTGGTAGCAAAAATACAGTTTATAAAAAAGTGAAAACAATGGTATATGTATGAAGTCTGTATACCCAGCAGAAGCAGAGTTATAGCTAATGAAAAATAGATTCTTACCTATTCGTCAAATTCCATATCGAATAATTCAACGTGAAATAATCAAAAAAAATGTTTTTTTACTTTTTTTTAAATTGTTTAGAGAAATCTTTATTTTTGATTTTTAAAAAATTTTCTAGCATCAAATGTAAGCAAGTTACGCTCAAAACAAAGTTGATCCCTTTTTTTGGTAAAAAATAATCATGAATATGATCTGTAAGTTTCATCGGTTTAAAGAGCTTATTTTTGAAAGATACTTACATGAAATCGGCCAATTCGTCTTACAGTCGAATTGTCTCTTAGGTTATAGATTAATCGAGAGATCACATTTACTTCGATATACAGAACATATTTTTGACAAGTTGTGGAAGTCTTTGTAGAAATATTCAAACAATTAAACACTATCACTATCCGTGTGTCCAGAACTTGAGTAGTCGTTTG